GAAGGAACAGAAGGATGCTTGTATCTACAGTACCCTATCGACTTCCTTGACCTTTCCTTTTACAAATACAATTCAGATAAAACTTTCAGTTTTGCCAATAGCAGGTTTGTCTGCAGATACAGAAGTGTGTTTAAAAGTTAAAATCAGTACTGGAAAATATATATATTGCTACACGGGCAAGTGCACCCGACAAAATAGCATTTAGAGAATGCTTTGAACCTAAGAACTGAAAGATAGCGGTGTATAAGAATACACTTAAGATTGTATATATGGAAAGAGGAACCTTCCTTCCTTTACTTCAGAGATACATTATAAGGTAGATAAATATCTAGAAATTATTCTATACTCTTGATCTTGAATGCAGTGTACGCTTTCATAAAGCTCTAGGCAAAAATAGAAAATTCTTCTTTCCCTCCAAGCAGACATCTAGCTTGACGCCCTGCAATTTCTTGTATGTAACCAACGACACAAGAACTTGCGTGAAGAACCATCATAAGCAAAATGAGTGTTTCAAGATGTGCTGGTGGTTGCAAGAGTTATCTTGTGGTTTGAATTCTTCTGAATTAAATATGACTGAGAATATCAGTCAGCTAAGAGATTTACCTGAGAGGAGGGAACCAAGAAAAAACCTGCTTAGCTTGTCAACATTATTACACCTGTAACACAAAGTTAAATCATATGTTAAACTAAACTTCCTAGTAAGGGTAAATGCTAACAAAAATAAGAATTATAAGGAAGGAAGCATTTTTCAATCCTGTGCTGCTAAAGCCTGTAAAAAACATAACCATCCCAGCTGGTTACTATATCTCTAACCTTTATAAATCAAAGCTTTGTTTTGAATGAATAAAATCACTTTGGCACACAAGCATATCATAGTGGTATGATGCATGCCTGAATATTCCTAAGAATGCCCTCAGAGGTACTCTGTGAGTAGAATTATTCTGCAGAAGGAAAGACAAGGGAGCACAAAGGCCCATTGTGCACACTAATGCAGAAAAATGAAATCAAATACCATTCTCAGCAAAAGCAGAGTGTCTTCTGAGCAAAGGCTATTAAGTGTGTCAGATTGCAGGACATTTTCTGGACATGGCTATTATGTTAAGACATACTGAACATGTGTCACTTATAACACTGCCCTGGTTGTAACATCACAGCTCCAGAGGAAAAAGGGCTGGTGCATCAATTCTTTGTATCAAGTACTCACACACACTTCTCCTCTCACCAACCTCTCACTTCTCATTTATAAAGAAGGTTAGAGTAAGTTATAATTAGTACTTGCTGCCCTGTCAACTAATTAAACGTAGTAAAAAGCTTTCAGTAAGTTTAATGCGAACATGGTGTAATTACAGCTGAGTTTTGAATGCACAGTGCATGTATTACAGGTTTCAGTATGTGCCCCCTGCCTTCAATGACCTAAATTCTCAGGTTAAACCTATCACATGATTAGTGAGTGGGTACTGCCAAAGACAAACATTTTAGACCTAAATACAAGACAGCCCCCCGCATTTTTAGAGGCACTACATCAGCCTCTAGGGGTAGGGGTGGAAGGAAGGAGGAACAGCCAGCCAGTTGCTTGCTTCCCCATTCTTTCTCTTCCCTTCTGGAGGCACCCTTGCCTAAATTCTCCCATCCACGAGGCTCCTACTGCTCTCAACTCTTTTCCTCCCTTTCATAAGGAAAAACATGGCCAAGATTTCAACGCCACTTCCAACCCCATCTCATTGTCAGTCTCAGGGGCATCCTGGGTAAGACACCATGTGCAACTGCCTCAACACCTCTGGAGCTGCAATTCCTCAAGAAGCAAGAGTTATGCTATACAACCACCTGTTTTCCAGGGGGGTAAGGAAAACTGCTCAGAAAGCCCAGAGCAGGGTAAAGTGAAAATGGAAACCATGTAATGTTCCAGCACTTGGCTGACATAGTTCCTTTCTCTCCTAAGTATTTGGAAGAGCTATGAACACATGAGAAAACAGGTGAAGAGCAGAGCAGTCAGGCTTTAGATCAGGCAGGATGCTGGTAGTTACAGGTATATATAATAAGTCACTGTACCCACTGCATTCTTCTTGCTTTCCCACTCACACTCCTCACTGCTTTCCATTGCCCAGAGATAAGCAAGGTAGGTATAAATAGCCCCCAACATAAAGACATAATTAATTGAACAAAAACATAGCCTAAGATAATCAATTAAAATGATGAAAATCTTTAATTTTATTTAAGTATAATTGTACGGACACGTGTATATACAAATACAGATCTTATGGGGCAGGGATTTGGGGTGTTTTTTGTTATTTTTTTAACATTTTCTTTTAGGTTCATATAATGTAAGCATTTCAAAAACAGCACTCAATGAATAAGTGCAAAGAAACTGCAAAGCAGGGCAGTACAAGCACAGGACCACACTGAGCTGGACTTTCATACCCAGATGCATACACAATGAGTGTCTTCAATGGAGTGTCAAGAGTAAGCATGGAAAGCAGATTTCGCAGACTCATGGGTAACCTCCAACATGCCAGCATCTATTAAACTGTACAGACAATGGCAGCAAGCCTATTGTAGGGAGATTTGTCTCACATCCGAGAAGCTCGAGGGCGAATGCATGGGAAAAACTCAGTGATGCCAGACCAGAAACAGATCTGCCCATTCATAGCTCCAAATTAAAAAAGGAGGAGGGTGGGAGAGGAGGAAGGGCAGGAAGAGGGAAGAGAAGTGTAGAGGGTTGTACATTAAAACTGGTGATTACAAAATCCAAGTGTAATGAAAGGAGGGGAAGAGTTAACACTCTAAGCCTCTGAAAGTGAATAAATCGTTGCTCTCACAAGGCAATGGATTAAGTTCAGTTTTGAGGGTTAGGGGTGGGAATCGACAGGTACAAATACAACCATTTTCCTTCCACAACTATATAGGAAAGGAAGTATTCTACTCATCTACTTTCGGTACCTTCCAAATTTGTTTCTAGTTCTTTTGGAATCAAGTACATACATATATCGCAGATGACACTGGCAAGATCCTTTCTGGAAAAAAACTAGTCATGAGAACAAAACCAGAAGGAAAACAGGAGGGGGAAAATCTAAAGAAAAAAGAAAGAAACAAACAAAATAACAGAAGAGTAGTTATATCCCCAAAGCCTTTTTAGAAATAAACATGATACAAAAGAACAAAAAATAACACAGAAACCACAGGGCTCCAACATCAGACCTTTAAACACTGAGGACAAAACATTGATCATCAAAAGTCGTATTGTTCCAGGTCCTGACATTGTGAAGTCTTGCAATAGATGAACAGTTTTCAAAGATGAGTCCTGTATGCTGCAGTGTCATGGCCACTTGTCTCTCAGTTCTCAGCCATGATCACACTTGATGCTTCAAAGTTCTGTCTTGTAATCAACATGTGATTTTAATATCCTGAAAGTCTATTGTTCTCACTTACAAAAGACATAAGAATCAAATTAATACTTTATTATCAAACACTATATACAACAGAGGTTGCTAATAATACAGAATTTAAAGAACATAGCTTTACTTGTCTTTCCTTCGCCATCCAAGTAATTACAGTACAAAACAATATTCTAAACTAACACGAAATGTTACCTTGTCTATTAAAGGATACACAGTATCCACTAAACTCACTGATCCCTATTTTCCCTGCTTCACATTGCAATACCCTTGGCAGCCAGGAGTGCAGGTCACGGCGGTAAATAAGCCACCTAGGCTGAGGGAGAATCAGTCTCTCAGACTTGAGCTGGGGCAGATAAAGGGGAAGGGAGCAGAAATCTCCCTAATTTGCACCAGCAAGTGCTTTTAAAGCATCCAAAGATTTGTGATGCAACACAAAACCCATCAGCGTTCATATACTTGGTAAGACTGGGATTGCCTGATGCCATCAAGTATCAAACCGACAGTGGCTGGTATGCTCCCGGTCATGCTGTACCAGATAGTCTTGCAGCTGCATCACTTGTTTTGGCCCTCACCTACCCAGAAGGGCTCTGTGGGTCAAACAAAGGGGTGAAGTTCACCAGGAGTAACACTAGTGAAAACCTTGTGCTCTGGAATATGTGCCTTGAACTCTGGCATCATTCAGAGACAAAGGATGAAGTATGAAATCACCATTTCTGCATTACATTGGTTCTACTGGTATGGCTGCCTGCAGTTGTTATGAGTCATGTTAATATGGTTACCTATCATGCAATATTATCTGTACTCGGGGTTAATAATTGATTTGATAAGGGGCATTTTAACTAAGCTTACCTCATCTAAACACTTTTAATTCCCAGCTACAGGAAATATTGGTGCATGTACCAAGCACATCCATATTAAAGAGAGAAAAGTACCAGATAGCATGTAATGAGATGATGATTTCCCTCACTGTTTAGACTGTGTAACTTTTTTGTGTGTTCTTCACACTAGGAGAAATTTCCTACATTCCTCCTGTAAGCACAGGCCCTGCATTCATTACCATGTTATATGATATCAGGCAAGCCCAGATCAGAGTTTAGGACGCATAAACCTCCCCTTACATCTTACTTCTCCCTTTTCCCTTTATATTGAATAATGGGGTATTTCAACTTCCAGAAAGCTTTTCTTCAACAAAAAAAAAAAAAGCCTATGAAGTTCTGTCCATTAATGGTATCGCTCAATTTTGTTATGGCAGACTTTTTTCTTAAGAATTAAGTTTTTGTTAGAAAAGCTCTGTATCAGTCTTGGTCTGATATTAGCAGTCCGAATTTCATGGCAGTCTAGCCAAAAAAGTACCCTTTGCACTTCCTGGGAAATGTCTTTTTAAAGTTCTACCTTAGCCAAGGCTCAGATTGCTTAAACAGGGTCACTCCTAATTCCATCAAACAAGACAGTACCATTTCCTAATTGCATCAAGGGTTACAACTCCTCTCACGTGTTTAAATAGGACAAGCATATATACTCACTCTCAGCATAAAGTATATCTAAATAATGCATTTTCTATTCTAGTGGATTTTTAAAAAAATATTTTGTTAAGTCTTTGGGAGCCCATCTAGTTTATCTCCAGCTGATAAACACGTTTCCTCTACTCTTCAAATTGTGTTGGACGGGGAAAGGATAACAAATCAACACTTGAATTTGTATTCCACACTTATTTTCTTTCCCCCCATCAAACAATGCTACTAGACTGTCCTGGCTTCTTCTACATGTGGTTTATTCCCATGACTGAGGAACTTACAGGAGAGACAAATCAAGAGCACACTGGAGATCCTGTGTCCCAAACATGTTTCCTCTGGCCACTGATGTCCTCTCTTAGCATGTATTAACACCCATAGCAGCATTCAAGGCTATCAGCTACTAAGTCAGCGCTGGGGAAGGTCACTTTATTCTCAAAAGTGCCTCTGCATTTCAAGAAAAAAATTGTAGCACACGGTGATTTGTTTTAAAATAAAATAATCTGGTGTGCATTATCCCCTTAAAACGAAATAACAGAGGCACTCACACCCCCAGTGAAGTTTTCTAAATCTGCCTGCTGTGTGCTAACATTCCTAAATACTAACTTCTTCCTCTCACCAAAGACAGCATTTCTACTCATGAGAACAAATTCTACTGTCAAAGATGCTTCAATACAGTCCTATAAGAAACATCGTCCCTCCCTTTCAGAAGCCTGTTCATTTAGAAACTCCTGGAGGAAATGGTGTTATATCTATTCTTAATATTTCCCTTCCAGTCCTGACATGGCGACACGATGCCTTGCATGATCACCTTACAGTGCTGAATGAGAAGGTATAAATATTGTATTAGATAGAAAAACTCTCCCAGGCTTTCACCCACTTTCCTTATCCTTCACTGACTGCATCTGCCACTAATCCTCCTTGTCCACATACGGATGACACAGTGAGCTAACAGAGGTGACTTCTTAAAGGAGAATGCAGAGGAAAATAAGAATCACTAGTGTCACTATTATAGTTTGGCATTTTCATTTGGAGTCCTTTTATTTATATGGAGGGGTTAAAGAAAGTCATAGGGCAGGTAGGGATGGGTGCTGAAGTTAGTTATCCCCTTCAAATTTTTGCTGAGTTCAGGCTAAAAGGGAGAAGAAAAGGGAAAAATAACAATTTGACATCTGCAAAAACAATAAAGTCCCTTTCCTGGGATGAGCAGTTAGGTGGATCTTTGATGTTCCAAGACCCTGATATTTTCTGCGACAGGTTGCTGGAGCATACTGTGCTATAATATCAAAAGCATTGCCAGGAGGAACAATAGAGTTGCCAAAAGCCGGCTGGGTATCCTTGGTGTCTGTGCCGCATTCTCACCACGGGATGGCTCGGCTGACTCATGTACGGTATCATCTGTTCAAACAGAAAGCATACATTCCAATGAGATTTTGCATCCTTAATAAACTCTCACTGAGCAGACAACTGTAAGTAGATTTCAGTGCCTTTATGAAATAGGGCAATGAACCTTGTGCTGTCATTGACTTTCACAAGCGTGTAATACCTCATTATGTAACCAACTTGGGGCCAAGTCTTGCATTTCTTACTGGCAAAACTCCCACTGAAGACCAGAGGAGCAGAAAGTAAGTCTGATTTCAGCAGACTGAAGAACGAAAGGTTCCTCTTCTAATAAAATGCTATATCTCTAGCTTTGGATGGCTCATTAGATAGCAATGTCAATAGGGAGGCAGCTAAATAAAACACCTGATTTTCAAAAGGGCTTAAAGAAGAGATGCACATGCTCATAAATAATTTTGAGTTAATCCCTTTACTCAGTTACAGATTTTGGGTCCTGAATTTGAAATGACAGTCTGCAACACCAAGCATATATTCCACTTCAATGCATAAATTTTCCACTGAAGTACATCACATCTGGGGATGAGCAGGGGATATAAGACTAGTCTACATTTCTTGAAGCAGAATTTTAAAGGTTAACATAGATCAATCTCCAATTTTATAGAATATATACACAATCTGGAAAACCTCACAGGTAACAGACTACCTTTTGTGACACACAAGTACAGATTTACATATATGTTGCTAAAACTAATGAAGAAAAGAACCAGTTGAGTTGGGAAAACATGCTTGCACATTCGTGGCAAATACAGCAGCAACCACTAAATTTCTAATACCAAACAAAGTTCTGTTTAGTTTTTGTAAACTAAAGATCAGCCTTAACACTACCGCTTGTAAAATAATAAAGACAGGTAAAGTCAAATTCAACCTCAGTGTTGCCATAGGTGTGGTATTTTTCTCTGCAAAGCTCTCTGCATCCACAGCTCTCTAATTTGGCTATTTTAAAATTAATCTGTCTGAAGCTTGCCATAAAAAGTCAGCTTTTGAATTTTCTTAGTACTAAATGAATAAGCTGAACCTTTTCAGAAGTGTGAAGTGGCCTCACAATGCAATCATAAGCTATTTTAGAGTGCTTAAGAGTCCAGCAAAATCAATAGTATCTCACTGTTTAGCGTAATAAGCTCCCCCATCTTAGGAAAGATGTCGACATATCTATGATGTATCTGTCTTGTAGCTCCCACCTCAACAAATTGCACTGCCAGGATTATGCCCGGTGAGAGATGTGCAATTCCAATCAAAGATACTAATGGGAGCAGGAGTCAGGACACTGGGATCACCATGCTGCTTCGGCACAAAGCCTTTCAGGTTATTTGCTTTAGCTAGAAACAAGCTCTCTTTCCTTCATGCCCTTGACACCTTGCACAAAAGCAGGTTTAGGCTAACAGGCTCTTCAGCCTCAGTTCAGTTACACAGCAAGATGCACAGGAAACTGAAATAGCAATATATCATGGGTTTTTTTCCAGCACTAATTGATGCTACAATCACATCAGGCTTCTTAACATGTCTTTGGTGCTGCTCAAGACAAAAGTAGGAAAAGCAAGTAATGATCAGCTGTAAGCATGTTCAGGTTTGTAAGAAATGGACATCATCAGATCAGTCTGATGTCAGTGGGAAAGACTGCTGGAATGGCTTCAGTTATAGCTCCTCCCCAGGTATGGCAGAGAAACGCTCTCAAGGACTTTGGCCCTGAATGAGGCCCTAGTATCTTTCTTCCAGAGCTATCCCAAAGGAATCTAAAAATTACAGTTAATGCTGGCTACTGAAAAGTGCCGGTATCAAAACAAGCTGTTTCACATTTCACTTAACGAGTTACACTCTTGTAATTTGGCGACACTGCAATGAGAATGCAGTACTTTAAATCATACTCTAACAAGCTACCGGGGAAAAATACCCCCATTCTAACTGTCCATTCTACCTGCTTTCATATATTTAGAGTCAGCTCTTCCCAATTTGGAAACATTTACTCACTGCTGATGAACTAAAACTATAGAGGAGAATGGCATGCATTACCTTCTATCTATTGCATCATCAACAGAATTGCAAATAAGTCTGAATTTGCAACGCTGAATGTCAACAGTTTTGTACTAATTACATCCATGAGTCAGCACTAAAGCACAACAGGGCAGAATTAGTGTAGACCACTAATAAATCCTCATTCTTTTTGGCTATCAGATACTGCCATGACTGGGACACTGGCTACTGCTAAAAAAAAATCTACGAAAAAGCACTAAACTAAAAAAGATTACTTCTCTTAAATGAAAGAAGATGGATATTTTCTAAGAATCAATTTTTATAAAGACATTTTCAAAGAATAATTAATTTTCATGTAACATTAAGGTGTTCCCTTCAGGAAACTATCTGGATTTTGTCAATGCAGTCCCAAGGTTTCTACACTTGCATATTAGAGAGCATACAATTCACCTGTGTTTCTAAAAATCACTTTAGAAATATGTCTTTCCTTTGAGATGTAGTTATAACACTCTACAATCATTAATGCTTGAGGGAAAAGATTTGGTGTATTTTAAACACTGAAGGCAAGTGATGAAGGGGACAAAATCCCTGAGCAAAATCTGGGAGGCTACTTATAAAGACTGGGAATGCCAGTAGTAATTAGAAAAAAAATAATTTGACAACCACGAATGATGCAGATCATATGCTTCAGGTACCTTTTTTTCAGATACTCACAGATTCAGTTTTTGTTTCCTGACTTTTTATTACTAAGGAGGAAGAGTAGGAGAGGACAGGAATTGTGACAATTACTTTTACTAATTCTGAAACATTTGTGATCTCTACAGACCAGTTTCCTACAAATTCCTGAACAAATCCAGTGAAAACACAAGGGTTCAAAAATCACAGAAGCAGCGATTTTTAAACATGACATTAAACAATCTGCTGAACATGACCTTCCTGCCTCCCATTTCTTCTGTCTACTGTGGAAGAAGACAGTGGCAGGCTAAGGGAAAGCACAGAAGGAGAAGATTGACATCAGAGGCAAGTTAAATAGTACAGGACACAGATCCCATGCAACAAGATCCACCAAGACAGTGGCAAGTCTAATAGCTTAATAACAGAAAGGTGTGACAGCAGTTGGCAGATCTTGGAATGACTGATTATCTAATGGTGAGTGGTTCAAATAATATTGCAAATATACCCTGATGCTGGAGTGGGAACTTTCTGATACCAAACCTTGTCATCAGAGCTATTAATTTCCTGCTGGTAACACAAATAAGACTGCAGGATGCTGTTTGAATGATTTTGATTCCCTGGTTTGCCCACTGCTTTCTAACAATATGCTTTTGTGATGGTGTTAGTCAGGCATAGCCTTTCAACTGAAAGTGAGCAGCACTGCTGAAAAATAAAATTCTCAGTAAGTTCACTAAAATCAGGCCTCTATTTACTCAGATGATCTCTTCTGCAAACCCGTAACAGAAGACATACACATCAATTACTCTATATTTGCCAAACCACAAAACATAAAAAAGTGCACTGAGTTTCTAGATGCATAGGTTACCTAGAGATACAGAAAGATCATCCCCGTGTTCTCTGTAGAAGAATGCTGTTAATAAATGTATCTAATGTAAATGCACTCTCCTTGCATTTAGATTTGCTTAGAGAACATCTTTGATTTTCAAATCTAAAATTTTTTAGAGAGTTCCTCTTAAAGAAAAATAATAAAGTCTATTGTGTATCCATTCAAACTGGGTAACTTATGAAAGCCTTATTTACACTTCTGAATAAATAATGACTTTTAGTTAATGGAACTGCAAAGAACAAAGAGCAAAAAATTAGTACATAGCTTCATACCAGAGTAGAGGTCTTTATCAAATAGCATAAGAGAACAAAAGAGATTTTGGCAATCTGTTCTTCACAGTGTGTACTAAATGGTGCATGTATGTATTTTTTTCTGGTATAATTTGTTTATTTAACAACGTGTGAGCAGTGTGTAATTACATCTTAAAAAACTCCAACCAGTTAATAATATTATTGCAAATACTATTCCTACATATCTACCTAATTTTAATGTCATGAGCCATCCCACTGAAGTTGGTAAGATTACGTATGCCCCTAGAAAATAACATGCTTCTATTTGTCATAAACCTCAGCCATATAAACAACACACATGCACTTTGCACACAGAAACACAGCTTGATTGATGGTGGAGATCAGTGTAACTTTGCCCCGGGCAGATGCACTGCTTTATCATACCAAGCATTGTTCTTATTCTTAAGGTAGTGTTTTGCAAAAAAAGGCAACAAAGTCCCTCCCAAAACTTAAGTTTGCTAGAATAAAAACAGGATAGGATTTAATATATGACTGTGTGCGTGTGCATGTATGTAAAAATGATACTTAGCCTAACCAAATGCACATACAAATATATATAATTTTAAAGGACTAATTTCTTACTTAAATACTAACTTTGTGAGTCGCATGTCTATGTCATGCACCAGCAATAAACAAGTAGTGGTCCTGTTTTTCTGAAAGTCTTTTGAAACTTAATAAATGAAATGTGCGCATTAACTTTATTTCTAAAAATTTGGGCCCAGTTAGTAAATGGGGTGTTTTGCGAACATGCTCAGTGTTTGGCTTGGATGGCTCAGTGACTTCAGGATACTAGTAGAAATTTTACACTGGCACACATCATATTTTATTAAACTACGCCACCCAAAAAACCAAATCAACATTTTTCCTCCCTTGCATTAAACAAAGGTATAGGAAATATACCATAATTGATACCAGCACTGCTAGAAATGTGCAAAAGCAGAGCAGTTGTACCATGCAAATCATGCAGAGAGAAGAGGGGAAAAAGTACTGAAGCACAGAGGGACATACGCATTTGTTAAAAGAGATTCTCTAAGCATACTAACCTGCTGGTTCTAATGAATTTTCTACTTTGTCGTTAACATCGAAAACACGATCATGAACACCTATAGTTTTCATACAGCTGTCTATAACAAAAATAGAGATAACAGCCAAATACGTTAGTGAAACACCCTTAAACTCCCCACTTTTCTTTCTTCTCTCTATTTACTATATATAATTAGGTATATATATGTTTTCAAATCTGTGGCACTTGTCCAAATGCCAGTAGAGTATTCCATTTCTACAACAGTTTAAGAAACAACAAGTTAGCAACTGCATACAACAAAGCTTAATGAAAAATGGTAAGAAAATACAATGAAAAATCATGACAAATGTTGCGGTACAGAACAGATAAAAAAGGTTTAACAGTAAAAAAAAAAATGTTTACTGCTGTTTACTGGACGATACAGTAAAGCATGTGCTACAAAGCCACCCTTGAAAGTTTAATCTGAAGAACTTACTTGCTGGTCGCACAAAGACCTTAAGCTTTAGACAGGATCTCCTTCCATTATCTGGAATCGCAGAAGCTGTAAATGGGAAAGAAGGAAAGACAAATGAAAGAGTAAGAGAGTGAAAATGTAAATCACCTTGTGTGCTAAAATAAAACATCCTTATCTTCCCTCCATCTGAAGGCCTCAACATGTTTCAGCCTCTGCATGTAAGGACTTGAAGTGCACAAAGTAGCTTGATTATGCAAAAGCAGGAGAAGAACTGCAGATTTTCTTTTAATCCCTTTTTTGATTATTTTACACAGAAGAAGTGAAGCACATGGTATTTTCAATGTTTTATTATATCCTTTCACCTTTCCACACCTTTTTCTCAAGAGGTTGTTTAATATGGTTTCTGCTTTAATGCAGGTCTCTACTCTGAAAAAGCTACACTTCAAAAAAATTAAGATCACTTAGAGAAAAGCTAGTCTTGAAACACTAGGCCACAGGTTTCAGCAATCCAAACCGGGATAAAAAAAACAAAATTACACTGAAGGTGACAGTGCTAAAAATAGAACTATGTATGTACTCCCGCAAAAGTAGAAATAGACATTGTCAAATTCTACAGAAAAGTCAGCCTCTATATGTTCCATTATATCTGCCTTTGTTGAAAAAATGCTTATCTTGGTTCAGCCAGAAGATGATTCTCCATGTTACATAACTAACAAACCAAACCCAGCTGATTCCTTCTTTTTACCCTCCCTCACCATTGCTTGGTCAAAGTGTTTCAGATTAAGAGTACTTACTACTATTAGAAGAAAAAGATTAAGTAGAAACAACATACCTAGCACTAATAGAAAAGATCATGCATGTAATACTAGTGTCAGCACCTACTTGTTTAGCAGGAACAAGTGCTATTGTGAAAACTCCCTTTCTAGTACTGTGGAACTGTGCTTTTCTCAAAGTAACTGCTCACAGGGAAATATGCCTGCCTGTCACCCCTGGAATCCCCAGTGTACTGCGTTCCACTCTGAACACACTGGTAACTTTCATCAGTGCCTGCAATTCTGAAACTGCACATTGGCCTGCAGTTCAGCATGCACACTGGCATCCAAGTAACTTGACTTGGGCAGGCAGATTTTCAATTGTGGAAGATGATTTGCATACATATATTTTTTCCAGCCTTGCAAAACCCCTCAAAAGCTACAGCTGAAAAATATTGCCTGAAGTAATTGCAAAGTAATTTTTATTTCATTGCATAGTTTCCCTCATCATTCAAAAAGCTGCATATTAGGGAAGAACAAGCTACCTTCTGCAGCAAATGGCAACTATTGTGTAGCGGACTGATTCATGGATTTTGCCT